CAGAAAATTATCTATGCAGCTTCATGTCTCCGTATAGCCCCCATACTCCGGTACCTCCCGTTATTCGGTATTTCGAAGTTTTTAGATACAGTAATCACCGGAATCATTTCAAATTTCGTATTTGAAGTTCCAAATAGGTACTACAATCTATGACAGAAAATTATCTATGCAGGTCCAGGTCTTCGTATAGCCCCCATTATATCGGTACCTCCCTATATTGGGTATTTCGATGATTTTAGCGACATTATTCACCGGAATCGTTTCAAATTTCGTATGTGGAATTTCTAATAGGACCTACGATCTATGACAGAAAATTGTCTATGCAGGTCCAGGTCTTCGTATAACCCCTATACATCGGTACTTCCCTATATTCGATATTTCGATGTTTTTAGACACAATATTCACCGGAATCATTTCAAATTTCGTTTTTGAAATTCCAAATAGGTACTACAATCTTTGACAGATAATTTTTTATGCAGGCCCAGGTGTTATTATAGCCCCTATATAACGGTACCTCCCTTAATTCGGTATTTTGATGATTTTGGCGACATTATTCACCGGATTTGTTTTAAATTTCGTATTTGAAATTCGTAATGGATACTACAGCCTGTGACAGAAAATTGTATATGCAGGTCCAGGTCTTCGTATAGCCCCTAAATATCAATACCTCCCAATATTCGGTATTTTGATGATTTTAGCGACATTATCCACCGGAATTGTTACACATTTCGCATTTGAAGTTCCCAAAGGGTACTGTCACTGAAAATTGTATGTGCAGGTCAACGTTTTCCTATAGGTCCCCTATATCAATACCTCCCTATGTTCGGTATTTTGGTGATATTGGCGATATTATTCACCGGAATTGTTTCAAATTTGGTATTTGAAGTTCGTAATGGGTACTACAGCCTATTACAGAAAATTGCCTATGCAGGTCCAGGTGTTCGTATAGCCCCCATAAAACGATACCTCCCTAAATTCGGTATTTTGATGACTTTGGTGACATTATTCAACGGAATTGCTTCAAATTTCGTATTTGAAATTCGTAATGGATACTACAGCCTGTAACAGAAAATGTTCTATTCATGTCTAGGTCTTCGTATAGCCCCCACATAACGAATTCTATTTTTTTTTTGATAAAATCCAAATTCGTTACAAATGGTCGGCTCAGCCGAACTTAATGTTTTTTGTGTTTTTTTTTCTTTTTTTTTTTGTGAATCGAGTGATTGTTTTTTATTGGCACCAGATATTAATTTTATTTCCAGAGTACATGCTACTGAAGAATATTCGACTGTTATTGCTATTTTCTGTTGCTTTGTTAGTTGTCTTTCAAATTCCGACCGAAAAGTGTTAGAAAGATTTTTGAATTGGAGAAAGTAAAACATTTTTTTGGGATATTTTTTAAATTTTTCTAGGATCCAACAAACACTTTTTAAAAGGACAAATATTTAATAAAACTTGGATTTTTAAAAATAATTTTCATGGATTTTAGGATCAGTTTTTAGATCACAAAAAATGGGTTTTAAAGGATTTCGATGTTGGATGCTTGATGATGTCTTAGTAGCATATTTTTGGAATAGAGTAAGAGGATTTTTTTTTTTGGATTTTTTTTTATTTTTTTCAATGATCTGACAAACAAATCTTTTTTAAAAAATCAAGAGCTTAGTGTAGGGTTTTTTATTTTTTCAAGGACTTTAATATTCTCGGAGTGATTAAAATATTTTTTCAATGATATAAAAAAATTATTTTTTTTTTTTTTGAAATATTTTCAGAGGCCGATATAGGCGTGGATTTTTGAAATATTTTTTCAGAGACCAATATCTAATAAATTGAATTTAAAAAAAAAATATTTTTCTAGGACAAAATATTTTATATCATTAAATATAAGTTTTAAAGGACTTTTTTTCGACCCTAAAGTCACATTTTATGTAATATTTTGGATTTCAGCCCCTCTAACGAAGAGTTTTTTTTATACCCTCAGCCATATGGCTAAAGAGAGTATATATCATTTGATACGGCCATCGAAATAACGGTTTTAGATTCTAGGTCTTTTTGGACAAATCTGTTTCAGGACATTTGGAGTCGATCTAGCGATGTCAGTCCGTCCGCCCATCCGCCTGTCCATCAGTCCGTCTGTCTGTCTGGCTGGCGCGCACGATAACTCTCAAAGGGAGTATCCGATGTGGTCCAAACTTAGTACAGCGTAATATTATTATCAAACATAGATCGAGTTCGGTGATGGGCAATAACGGTCCACCCTTTTTTGGTACCTCCCCCACAAAAGGTCGAAATTTTCAAGGAAAATATTTGCCTACTCACAAAGAGAAAGGATCATCCAATTTTGTTCTTATTTTGCAAATCTTGATATTTGCGTCAGTGCTAGGTCAGGAGCAATAAGTAAAAACAAAAAACATTAAGTTTGGCCGGGCCGAACTTCTAATACCCTCCACCTTAGGGTAAAGGAAACATTAGAACCCATTATGACCCACAAACACCAATTTTTAGACATATTCGTGGGAAAATGTGGCAAAAATCATTAAAATAGAAAAAATCGGAAGGTAAGGGGTTAAATCAATGCATGGACCCATACATACAATATTTCACCACACGAACTAGGACTTATTATGACCTACAAATAACAATTTTCAGATAATTTTGTGAAAAAATGTGGCAAAAATCATCAAAAATATCGAATATCTGGAGGTACCGTTATATGGTAGCTATACCAAAACGTGTACCTATACATAAAATGTTTCGCCACCGGAACCAGAACCCGTTATGACCAACAAATACCAATTTTTAGACAAATCCTTGAAAAAATGAGACAAAAATCGACAAAATACCAAAAATCGGGAGGTACCCTTGTATGGGGGCTATACCAAAGCGTGGATCTATACATAAAATATTGCGGCACACGAATAAGGACCCATTATGACCTACAAATAACAATTTTCAGACAAATCCGTGCAAAAATGTGGCATAAAGCACCAAAATGCCGAATATCGGGAGGTACTGTTATATGGGGACTATACCAAAACGTGGACCTATACATGGAATGTTTTGCCACACGTACAGGGACCCGTTATGACCTACAAATACCAATTTTCAGACAAATCTGCGAAAAAATGTGGCATAAAGCACCAAAATGCCGAATATCGGGAGGTACCGTTATATGGGGACTATACCAAAAAGTGGACCGATATATCTCATTTTCAATACCAACCATCCTAGACACAATACAAATTGCTCTGCTAAATTTTGGCGCTTTACGTCAAATAATGTGGGCTCTATCGTGATTTCAACAGACAGCCAGGCGGACAGACAGACAGACGGACAGAGTTAAATCGACTTAGAATTTTATGCTGATTATGAATATATATATACCTTATGGGGTCTACGACGAATATTTAAGGATGTTACAAACGGAATGACAAAGTTAATATACCCTCCTTTCCAAGGTGGAGGGTATATAAAATGTGGTCGAAGAACAAATTTATATTTTTTGGAATTTGTTATTTGCTAAGTTTAGATGTCCTAGTAGGACATTTTTTAAATTTGATTAAGTGAGAGACTCCTCTGGGATTTTTCTTCCAATTTTTAAGGATCTAACAAACACACATTTTTTAAAAAAAATTAAGGTCTCAATGTGGACCCTTTAATTTTTTTCAAGGACTTTAATAGACACCGAATTTTTGAAATATTTTTTTTCTCATAAATATTAGTTTTATTTAAAAATAATTTTCTAAATATTTTTTCAAGGACCAATATTTCACTTAATTTTTTTTTGAAAATTTTATTTTTTTTTTTTTTTGATTTTAAATAACCAAAAATAATTTTTTAAGAACTTTTTTTGACATTAAAGGCATATTTAAAATAATATTTTGACTGATTCTTTTTAACTTCAACCTAAATTTTACTAATTTTGAAATTTGGAGTTCTCACTTTCTCATAAATATTAGTTTTATTTAAAAATATTTTTCTAAATTGTTTTTTCAATGACCAATATTTCACTTAAATTTTTTTGAAAATTTTATTTTTTTTTTTGATTTTAGATAACCAAAAATAATTTTTCGAAGGACTTTTTTCGACATTAAAGGCATATTTAAAATAATATTTTGACTGATTCTTTTTAACTTCAACCTAAATTATACTAATTTTGAAATTTGGAGTTCTCACTTTCTCATAAATATTAGTTTTATTTAAAAATATTTTTCTAAATTGTTTTTTCAATGACCAATATTTCACTTAAATTTTTTTGAAAATTTTATTTTTTTTTTTTTTTTGATTTTAGATAACCAAAAATAATTTTTTGAAGGACTTTTTTCGACATTAAAGGCATATTTAAAATAATATTTTGACTGATTATTTTTAACTTCAACCTAAATTTTACTAATTTTGAAATTTGGAGTTCTCACTTTCTCATAGATATTAGTTTTATTTATAAATATTTTTCTAAATTTTTTTTCCAAGGACCAATATTTCACTTAAATTTTTTTGAAAATTTTATTTTTTTTTTTTTTTTTTATTTTAGATAACCAAAAATAATTTTTCGAAGGACTTTTTTCGACATTAAAGGCATATTTAAAGTAATATTTTGACTGATTCTTTTTAACTTCAACCTAAATTTTACTAATTTTGAAATTTGGGGTTCTAACTTGAGGATATGCTCCAATTATCATTTTGTTTTCGCCGAACCAACCTACCAATAATTTCTGTTTTAAAATCATAGACTAACTGGTAATTTTTTATGCTTCCATAATAATATTTTTTTTTTCTTTGTTGTTAAATTAAATATTTTTTTTATTGAATTTAAAATTATATGTTTTTGTCTTTAATTTTAATAATTTGGAAAATTAAACAGTCTGGAGTTCAATAAAAATCCCATTCAAATTTTAAACAATTGACTAGACTCTAGATGATATCTTTCCTTACAGTTCCTATAAAAGCCATGCGAAAATTCGAACTGCCTTCAAATCAATTTCTAGAGTAAATAAAAAAAAAAAAATTGAAATGAAAGTTTTCAATATTGTGTTTGCTGTTGTAGCAGTTGCGGCTTTACTGATTGCGGAATGTGTAAGTAAATTTTGAGAAAATTTTTTCGAAAATATGATATATTTTTTTCCAATATTAAAAAGGTGATAAAAAAATAAGTAGCAATGCAGTAAGTTCCTGGGAGCTGAACTTTGAATACCCTCCACCATTTGGAACGAATATGGGAATTTTCCAAAAAAAAAACAAGGGTCCATTTAAAAATTATGTTAATTTCATAAAAGTATCGAATACAGGGAGTTACGGTTATTTTGGGGTCTGTACGGATATGTGGACCTGCATGGGCAATTTTTTCTTTCACAGGCTGTAGAACCATTTAGATACTGCAAATACCAAATTTCAAACAATTTCGGTAAATAATGTCGCTAAAATCATCAAAATGCCGAATATCGGGAGGTACCGTTATATGGGGGCTATACGAAGACGTGGACCTGCACAGATAATTTTCTGTCATAGGCTGTAGTATCCAATACGAACTCCAAATACCAAATTTAAAAGGATTCCGGTGAATAATGTCGCTAAAATCATCAAAATACCGAATATCGGGAGGTACTGTTATATGGGGGCTATACGACGACATGGACCTGCACAGACAATTTTCTGTCATAGGCTGTAACATCCATTATGAGCATCAAATGCCAAATTTGAAATAATTTCGGTGAATAATGTCGCTAAAATCATCAAAATACCGAATATCAGGAGGTACCGTTATATGGGGGCTATACGAAGACGTGGACCTGCACTGACAATTTTCTGTCGTAGGCTGTAACATCCATTATTAGCATCAAATACCAAATCTGAAGCAATTCGGGTGAATAATGTCGGTAAAATTATCAAAATACCGAATATCGGGAGGTGCTGTTATATGGGGGCTGTACGAAAACATGGACCTGCACAGACAATTTTCTGTCGTAGGCTGTAGTATCAATTTCGAACTTCAAATACAAAATTTGAAACAATTCCGGTAAATAATGTCGCTAAAATCATCAAAATACCGAATATCGGGAGGTACCGTTATATGGGGGCTATACGAAGACGTGGACCTGCCCAGACAATTTTCTGTCATAGGCTGTAGTATCAATTTCGAACTTCAAATACAAAATTTGAAACAATTCCGGTAAATAATGTCCCTAAAATCGTCAAAATACCGAATATCGGGAGGTGCTGTTATATGGGGGCTATACCAAAACGTGGACTGGCACAAACAATTTTCTGTCCCAAGCTGTAATACCTATAAGAAACTTCAAATATTAAATTTGAAACAATTCCGGTGAATAATGTCGCTTAAACCACCAAAATACCGAAAATGGTGAGGAACAATTATATGGGGGCTATACGAAGACGTAGACCTGCACAGACAATTTTCCGTCTTAGGCTGTAGTATCCATTACGAACGTCAAATGCCAAATTTGAAACAATTCCGGTGAATATTGTTGTTAAAAACATCAAAATACCGAATATCGGGAGGTACCGGTATATGGGGGCTATACCAAAACGTGGACCTACATGACCCACTTTTAATACGAAAATTTCTGCAGACATAATATACATTTGAGTAAAATTTTATCAATCTTCTTCATTTCGTTCGGAAGCTAGAGTGATTTCCACACACGGACGCACATTGATAAATCGACATAGAATTTTATGCTGATCAAGAATATATATACTTTGTGGGGTCTAAAATGTATATTTCGAGGTGTTACAAATGGAATGACAAACTTAATATCCCCTAAAAATTTAATCTCCAAAAATGTAATATTTCCCAATTTTTTTCCCATTTAGCACTCCTCCAAAGATCCCGCCAAACATGCCACCTGCTTGCAAGAGAACAACCTCTCCGAGGAGGAATTCTATGGCATTTTGAAAGAGGCCAAAAATGGTTCGAACGACATTGATTCACGCATGAAATGCTACACCCACTGCATGCTGGAAGCTTCAAAGCATTTGGATGAAAATGGAAAATTGAATTTGAACTCCCTGCAGGATGAGGAAAATGTGACCGAGGATGATATCAAAATAGCCGAAGAATGTAAAAAAGAATTCGAAAATGTGGAGGAGAAATGCGAATATTCGTATCAGGTTTCGATTTGTGTGGCTAAGGCCATGGCCGCTAAGAATGCGGCCGTCAAGGCCCTGTTGGAAGGTGAAAGCGCCCATATGAATGAAGAGGGCGAGGAATAAGATGGGAAAGGGATCGGAATTGAAAAATAAAAAATAAATTGTCTATAATTACAAAAGTGTTTAAAACGTTCTATTAAGATATTTAATGACAGATTTTCCCCTTAGGCTAGAGTAGCTTGTCGAGATCCAATGGTTCGTACAGAAATTTATTTCTTTTGAGACAGGGAGAGAAAGATGTAGAAAGAGAGAGAGACAGTTGTTTTCGTTTGATGGCACGTTATATTGTTGAGGTAATATGGGCCTATAATGAGCTTATTTTATGCTAAGTTTAACTTATTCTACTAGTCTTTGGTTCTGAGTTAGCTTGAGACCTGGATGAGGACTAAACACGGGACAGGAAAGCAGGGGGTTGATGCTCTCGGGATTTGAGATGGTTCTAGTAAGACAATCGGATAGATTTTAGTCGAGAGACCTTAATAAGTACCCAGGCAGGACCTATAAGGCAATGCAAGGCTACGTCTTCAGGATATCTTTTCCAAGGATATATTTTTCCAAACCCCTCCTTAACCCTTTTTTAGATAGTTTTTTAAGGCGCTAATAAAACGTGATTTTTAAAATAAATTTTTCCAAACAAAAGGTGGATTTTCTTTAAATATTTATTTTAAGGCCCTAACAAAACGTGCATTTTTGAACTTTTTCCAGGGCCCAAATAAAATGAGGATTATTTTAAATTATTTATTTTAAGGCTCTAATAAAACGTGGATTCTTTTAAATAGATTCTTTCAAGGCCCTAATTAAACATGGATTTTTAAAAATAATTATTTCAAAGCCCTAATAAAACATGGATTTTTAAAAATAATTATTTCAAGGCCCTAAAAAAACGTGGATTTTTTAAACAATGTTTTCAAGGCCCTAAAATCTGCATTTTTTTTACTAGTTTTTTCCAAGCTCATAACAAAACGTGATTTTTTTTTAATTTTTTTTTCGAGGTTCTAACAAAACGTGATTTTTTTGTAATTTTTTTTCGAGGTTCTAACAAAACGTGGATTTTTTTTAAATTGTATTTTTGAAGACCCTAACAAAACGTAGATTTTTTAAAATAATTTTTTCAAGGCTCTAACAAAACGTGGATTTTTTAAAACCGTTTTTTTTAAGGCTCTAACAAAACTTCTTCCACGGTCCTAATAAAACATGGATTTTTTAAAATAATTATTTCGAGGCCCTAACAAAACGTGGATTATTAAAACAAATTTTTCAAGGCCCTAACAAAACGTGGATTTCTAAAACATTTTTTCAAGGCCCTAAAAATTGCATTTTTTAATATTTTTTTTCCAAACGTGCATTTTATTAATGAGTTTTTTTTTTCTAACAAAGCGTAGATTTTTTAAAATTGTTTTTTTCAAGGCTCTAACTAAACGTGGATTTTTTAAAATCGTTTTTTTTTCAAGACCCTAACAAAGCTTCTTTCAAGGCCCAAATAAAACATGGATTTTTTAAAAATAATTATTTCAAGGTCCCAACAAAACGTGTTTTTTTTAAATAATTATTTCAAGGCTCTAACAAAACTTAGATTTTTTAAACAATTTTTTCAAGGCCCTAAAAACTGCATTTTTTTTAATTTTTTTCCAAACGCATAATAAATTTTTTAAATAATTTTTCAAGGTCCTTACAAAACGTAGATTTTTTAAAATCGTTTTTTAAGGCCCTAAAAACTGAATTTTTTTAATAATTTTAATATCCCAGACAAAAAACAAGGGAACTGATGAGGATTGGTGGCTCTTTCCGAAACCTAGGTATTCCCTGCCTTACCCCCTGGTAAACATTACCATCGTTCTCCACTAATAAACAAACGTTGTTTTTATAAAAACAACAATAAAGGGATAAGCCTGACCATTTTGCAACAACAAAATACTACGGTATCCCAAACAAACAAGCCACACTGTTCAATTTTTTCCAAGCTCATAACAAAACGTGCATTTTTTTTATTTTTTTCCAAGTTCTAACAAAACGTGGATTTTTTTAAATCGTATTTTTCAAGGCCCTAACAAAACGAAGATTTTTTTAAAGTATTTTTTCGAGGTTCTAATTAAACGTGGATTTTTTAAAATCGTTTTTTCAAGGCTCCAACAAAATAATTTTTCTTAGACCCTAGCAAAACGTGTATTTTTTAAATAATTTTTCGAGGTTCTAATAAAACGTGGATTTTTTTAAATATTTTTTTCAAGGTTCTAACAAAACGTGGATTTTTTTAAAGTAATTTTTTAGAGCCTTAGCCAAATGTGGATTTTTTAAAATAATTCTTTCAAGGCCCATTAATATTTGGGTTCTATAAAATATTGTTTTTAAGACCATAACAAAACGTGTTTTTTTTAAATAATTTTTTAAAAGTCCCAACGTAACGTGGATTTTTTAAAATAAATTTTAAAAGGCATCAACAAACGTGGACTTTTTATAATATTTTTTTCAAGGCTCTAACAAAACGTGGATTTTTTAAATATTTTTTTCAAGGCTCTAACAAACGTTAATTTTTTTTAAATAATTTTTTAAAGGTCCCAACGTAACGTGGATTTTTTAAAATAATTTTTTCAAAGCCCCAACATAACGTGGATTTTTTAAAATAATTATTCTAAGGCCCTAATAAAACGTGGATTTTTTTAAACAATTTTTTCAAGGTCCTAAAAACTTCGTTTTTTTAATATTTTTTTCCAAGGCTCTAACAATAGGTGAATTTTTTAAAATCTTTTTTTCCAAGGCTAATTTTTTCTAGACCCTAGCAAAACGTGCATTTTTTAAATAATTTTTTTTTAAAGTTCTAACAAAACGTGATTTTTTTTTAATATTTTTTTCAAGGCTCTAACAAAATGTGGATTTTTTTAAAATAGAATTTTTTTGGGCCTTAATAAAATGTGGATTTTTTAAAATAATTTTTTCAAGGCATCATCAAAATTTGGGTTCTATAAAATATTGTTTTCAAGACCATAACAAAACGTGAAATTGTTTAAAATAATTTGTTCAAAGTCCCAACGTAAAGGAATTTTTAAAAATAAATTTTCCTAGGCCCCAACATAACGTGGATTTTTTAAAATCATTTTTTAAAGGCATCAACAAACGTGAATTTTTTAAAATAATTTTTTCAAGTCCCCAACGTAGCGTGGATTTTTTAAAATAATTTTTCAAGGCCCAAACAAGGCGTGGATTGTTTTAAATAATTTTTCAAGGCCCAAACAAGGCGTGGATTGTTTTAAATATTTTTTTAAGGCTCTAACATTTAAAATAGTAATATTTTGTCGGGCCTTAACCAAATGTGGATTTTTCTAGAAAATTTTTTTCAAGGCATCATCAAAACTTGGGTTCTATAAAATATCGTTTTCAAGACAATAACAAAACGTGAAATTTTTTTAAATAATTTTTTCAAGGTCCCAACGTAAAGGGATTTTTTAAAATAATTTTTTTAAAGGCATCAACAAACGTGATTTTTTTTAAATAATTTTTTCAAGGCTCTAGCAAAATAAAAATATTATTTTTTTTTGGCTCCAACGTAGCGTGGATTTTTTAAAATAATTTTTCAAGGCCCAAACAAGGCGTGGATATTTTTAAAAATTTTTTTTCAAGGCTCTAACATTTAAAAAAATATTTTTTTCGGGCCTTAACTAAATGTGGATTTTTTAAATAATTTTTTTCAAGGCCTCATCAAAATGTGGGTTCTATAAAATATTGTTCTAAGACCGTAACAAAATGTGATTTTTTAAAAATTTTTTGTCAAGACCAAAACGTGGATTTTTTTAAATAATTTTTTCAAGACTCTTAAAAACGTGGATTTTTTAAATAATTTTTTCAAGGCTTAAAAAAACGTGGATTTTTTAAATAATTTTTCAAGGCTTAAAAAAAACGTGAATTTTTTAAAATAATTATTTCAAGGTCCCAACAAAACGTGGATTTTTAAAAATAATTATTTCAAGGCCCTAACAAAACGTGTATTTTTAAAACAATTTTTTCAAGCCCCTAACAATACGTGGATTTTTTTAAATAATTTTTTCAAACCCCTAACAATACGTGGTTTTTTTTAAATAATTTTTTCAAACCCCTAACAATACGTGGTTTTTTTTAAATAATTTTTTCAAGGCTCTATTAAAACATGGATTTTTTAAAATAGTAATTTTTTATGGCCTTAACCTAATGTGGATTTTTTAAAATAATTATTCAAGGCCCATACAAGGCGTGGATATTTTTAAATAAATTTTCAAAGCCTAAACAAGGCGTGGATATTTTTAAATAAATTTTCAAAGCCTAAACAAGGCGTGGATATTTTTAAATAAATTTTCAAAGCCTAAACGAGGCGTGGATATTTTTAAATAAATTTTCAAAGCCTAAACTAGGCGTGGATATTTTTAAATACATTTTCAAAGCCTTAACAAGGCGTGGATATTTTTAAATAAATTTTCAAAGCCTAAACAAGGCGTGGATATTTTTAAATAAATTTTCAAAGCCTAAACAAGGCGTGGATATTTTTAAATAAATTTTCAAAGCCTAAACAAGGCGTGGATATTTTTAAATAAATTTTCAAAGCCTAAACAAGGCGTGGATATTTTTAAATAAATTTTCAAAGCCTAAACAAGGCGTGGATATTTTTAAATAAATTTTCAAAGCCTAAACAAGGCGTGGATATTTTTAAATAAATTTTCAAAGCCTAAACAAGGCGTGGATATTTTTAAATAAATTTTCAAAGCCCAAACAAGGCGTGGATATTTTAAATAAATTTTCAAAGCCCAAACAAGGCGTGGATATTTTTAAATAAATTTTCAAAGCCTAAACAAGGCGTGGATATTTTTAAATAAATTTTCAAAGCCTAAACAAGGCGTGGATATTTTTAAATAAATTTTCAAAGCCTAAACAAGGCGTGGATATTTTTAAATAAATTTTCAAAGCCTAAACAAGGCGTGGATATTTTTAAATAAATTTTCAAAGCCTAAACAAGGCGTGGATATTTTTAAATAAATTTTCAAAGCCTAAACAAGGCGTGGATATTTTTAAATAAATTTTCAAAGCCTAAACAAGGCGTGGATATTTTTAAAAAAATTTTCAAAGCCTAAACAAGGCGTGGATATTTTTAAATAAATTTTCAAAGCCTAAACAAGGCGTGGATATTTTTAAATAAATTTTCAAAGCCTAAACAAGGCGTGGATATTTTTAAATAAATTTTCAAAGCCTAAACAAGGCGTGGATATTTTTAAATAAATTTTCAAAGCCTAAACAAGGCGTGGATATTTTTAAATAAATTTTCAAAGCCTAAACAAGGCGTGGATATTTTTAAATAAATTTTCAAAGCCTAAACAAGGCGTGGATATTTTTAAATAAATTTTCAAAGCCTAAACAAGGCGTGGATATTTTTAAATAAATTTTCAAAGCCTAAACAAGGCGTGGATATTTTTAAATAAATTTTCAAAGCCTAAACAAGGCGTGGATATTTTTAAATAAATTTTCAAAGCCTAAACAAGGCGTGGATATTTTTAAATAAATTTTCAAAGCCTAAACAAGGCGTGGTTATTTTTAAATAAATTTTCAAAGCCTAAACAAGGCGTGGATATTTTTAAATAAATTTTCAAAGCCTAAACAAGGCGTGGATATTTTTAAATAAATTTTCAAAGCCTAAACAAGGCGTGGATATTTTTAAATAAATTTTCAAAGCCTAAACAAGGCGTGGATATTTTTAAATAAATTTTCAAAGCCTAAACAAGGCGTGGTTATTTTTAAATAAATTTTCAAAGCCTAAACAAGGCGTGGGTATTTTTAAATAAATTTTCAAAGCCTAAACAAGGCGTGGATATTTTTAAATAAATTTTCAAAGCCTAAACAAGGCGTGGATATTTTTAAATAAATTTTCAAAGCCTAAACAAGGCGTGGATATTTTAAATAAATTTTCAAAGCCTAAACAAGGCGTGGATATTTTTAAATAAATTTTCAAAGCCTAAACAAGGCGTGGGTATTTTTAAATAAATTTTCAAAGCCTAAACAAGGCGTGGATATTTTTAAATAAATTTTCAAAGCCTAAACAAGGCGTGGATATTTTTAAATAAATTTTCAAAGCCTAAACAAGGCGTGGATATTTTTAAATAAATTTTCAAAGCCTAAACAAGGCGTGGATATTTTTAAATAAATTTTCAAAGCCTAAACAAGGCGTGGATATTTTTAAATAAATTTTCAAAGCCTAAACAAGGCGTGGATATTTTTAAATAAATTTTCAAAGCCTAAACAAGGCGTGGATATTTTTAAATAAATTTCAAAGCCTAAACAAGGCGTGGATATTTTTAAATAAATTTTCAAAGCCTAAACAAGGCGTGGATATTTTTAAATAAATTTTCAAAGCCTAAACAAGGCGTGGATATTTTTAAATAAATTTTCAAAGCCTAAACAAGGCGTGGATATTTTTAAATAAATTTTCAAAGCCTAAACAAGGCGTGGATATTTTAAATAAATTTTCAAAGCCTAAACAAGGCGTGGATATTTTTAAATAAATTTTCAAAGCCTAAACAAGGCGTGGATATTTTTAAATAAATTTTCAAAGCCTAAACAAGGCGTGGATATTTTTAAATAAATTTTCAAAGCCTAAACAAGGCGTGGATATTTTTAAATAAATTTTCAAAGCCTAAACAAGGCGTGGATATTTTAAATAAATTTTCAAAGCCTAAACAAGGCGTGGATATTTTTAAATAAATTTCAAAGCCTAAACAAGGCGTGGATATTTTTAAATAAATTTTCAAAGCCTAAACAAGGCGTGGATATTTTTAAATAAATTTTCAAAGCCTAAACAAGGCGTGGATATTTTTAAATAAATTTTCAAAGCCTAAACAAGGCGTGGATATTTTTAAATAAATTTTCAAAGCCTAAACAAGGCGTGGATATTTTTAAATAAATTTTCAAAGCCTAAACAAGGCGTGGATATTTTTAAATAAATTTTCAAAGCCTAAACAAGGCGTGGATATTTTTAAATAAATTTTCAAAGCCTAAACAAGGCGTGGATATTTTTAAATAAATTTTCAAAGCCTAAACAAGGCGTGGATATTTTAAATAAATTTTCAAAGCCTAAACAAGGCGTGGATATTTTTAAATAAATTTTCAAAGCCTAAACAAGGCGTGGATATTTTTAAATAAATTTTCAAAGCCTAAACAAGGCGTGGATATTTTTAAATAAATTTTCAAAGCCTAAACAAGGCGTGGATATTTTTAAATAAATTTTCAAAGCCTAAACAAGGCGTGGATATTTTAAATAAATTTTCAAAGCCTAAACAAGGCGTGGATATTTTTAAATAAATTTTCAAAGCCTAAACAAGGCGTGGATATTTTTAAATAAATTTTCAAAGCCTAAACAAGGCGTGGATATTTTTAAATAAATTTTCAAAGCCTAAACAAGGCGTGGATATTTTTAAATAAATTTTCAAAGCCTAAACAAGGCGTGGATATTTTTAAATAAATTTTCAAAGCCTAAACAAGGCGTGGATATTTTTAAATAAATTTTCAAAGCCTAAACAAGGCGTGGATATTTTTAAATAAATTTTCAAAGCCTAAACAAGGCGTGGATATTTTTAAATAAATTTTCAAAGCCTAAACAAGGCGTGGATATTTTTAAATAAATTTTCAAAGCCTAACAAGGCGTGGATATTTTTAAATAAATTTTCAAAGCCTAAACAAGGCGTGGATATTTTTAAATAAATTTTCAAAGCCTAAACAAGGCGTGGATATTTTTAAATAAATTTTCAAAGCCTAAACAAGGCGTGGATATTTTTAAATAAATTTTCAAAGCCTAAACAAGGCGTGGATATTTTTAAATAAATTTTCAAAGCCTAAACAAGGCGTGGATATTTTTAAATAAATTTTCAAAGCCTAAACAAGGCGTGGATATTTTTAAATAAATTTTCAAAGCCTAAACAAGGCGTGGATATTTTTAAATAATTTTCAAAGCCTAAACAAGGCGTGGATATTTTAAATAAATTTTCAAAGCCTAAACAAGGCGTGGATATTTTTAAATAAATTTTCAAAGCCTAAACAAGGCGTGGATATTTTTAAATAAATTTTCAAAGCCTAAACAAGGCGTGGATATTTTTAAAATAAATTTTCAAAGCCTAAACAAGGCGTGGATATTTTTAAATAAATTTTCAAAGCCTAAACAAGGCGTGGATATTTTTAAATAAATTTTCAAAGCCTAAACAAGGCGTGGATATTTTTAAATAAATTTTCAAAGCCTAAACAAGGCGTGGATATTTTTAAATAAATTTTCAAAGCCTAAACAAGGCGTGGATATTTTTAAATACATTTTCAAAGCCTAAACAAGGCGTGGATATTTTTAAATAAATTTTCAAAGCCTAAACAAGGCGTGGATATTTTTAAATAAATTTTCAAAGCCTAAACAAGGCGTGGATATTTTTAAATAAATTTTCAAAGCCTAAACAAGGCGTGGATATTTTTAAATAAATTTTCAAAGCCTAAACAAGGCGTGGATATTTTTAAATAAATTTTCAAAGCCTAAACAAGGCGTGGATATTTTTAAATAAATTTTCAAAGCCTAAACAAGGCGTGGATATTTTTAAATAAATTTTCAAAGCCTAAACAAGGCGTGGATATTTTTAAATAAATTTTCAAAGCCTAAACAAGGCGTGGATATTTTTAAATAAATTTTCAAAGCCTAAACAAGGCGTGGATATTTTTAAATAAATTTTCAAAGCCTAAACAAGGCGTGGATATTTTTAAATAAATTTTCAAAGCCTAAACAAGGCGTGGATATTTTTAAATAAATTTTCAAAGCCTAAACAAGGCGTGGATATTTTTAAATAAATTTTCAAAGCCTAAACAAGGCGTGGATATTTTTAAATAAATTTTCAAAGCCTAAACAAGGCGTGGATATTTTTAAATAAATTTTCAAAGCCTAAACAAGGCGTGGATATTTTTAAATAAATTTTCAAAGCCTAAACAAGGCGTGGATATTTTTAAATAAATTTTCAAAGCCTAAACAAGGCGTGGATATTTTTAAATAATTTTTCAAGGCTCTAGCAAAATAGTAATTTTTATGGCTCTAACGTAGCGTGGATTTTTTAAAATAATTTTTCAAGGACCACACAAGGCGTGGATATTTTTAAAAATTTTTTTTCAAGGCTCTAACATTTAAAAAAATATTTTTTTCGGGCCTTAACTAAATGTGGATTTTTTAAATAATTTTTTTCAAGGCCTCATCAAAATGTGGGTTCTATAAAATATTGTTCTAAGACCGTAACAAAATGTGATTTTTTAAAAATTTTTTGTCAAGACCAAAACGTGGATTTTTTAAATAATTTTTCAAGCTTAAAAAAACGTGGATTTTTTAAATAATTTTTCAAGGCTTAAAAAAACGTGGATTTTTTAAAATAATTGTTTCAAGGCCCTGACAAAACGTGGAATTTTTAATTTTTTCGTGCCTCTAACGAAACGTGGATTTCCTTGAATAATTCTTGCAATTCTCCAACGAAACGTGAAATATTTTAATTTATTTTTTTTTAAAGCCCTAGCATTTTTAATTTTTCTTCAAGGTGGCTTTTGGTGTCTGATGGCTCAAAAAATATTTAGAAATAAATTAAGGCCTTACAAAATATTAGTCCAGAAATATTCTATTGCCCATTGTTTTTCGCCACCGAAATGATTTTTAATTAAACTGCTATTATTTTTGAGTGATTGATGAATTACATGTCAAAATTCAATTACCATTCGCATTTCGAATCGTATAAAAGCACCAGTTAATAACCCGTTGACAATTCCAAAACGTTTGAGTTTTAAAGTATCAGCAATGTACCTTTCAAACATTGTCGTGTGTCTGGTGTTAATAATAACTGTATTTGCGAAAGGGGTAGACTATTCAAAAAAAAAAAAAAAATATAATAAATAACTAAATAAATAAATAATATAAATAATATTAATATATAATTAAAATAATGAATAAATAATAATAATAATAATAATAATAATAATAATAATAATAATAATAATAATAATAATAATAATAATAATAATAATAATAATAATAATAATAATAATAATAATAATAATAATAATAATAATAATAATAATAATAATAATAATAATAATAATAATAATAATAATAATAATAATAATAATAATAATAATAATAATAATAATAATAATAATAATAATAATAATAATAATAATAATAATAATAATAATAATAATAATAATAATAATAATAATAATAATAATAATAATAATAGTAATAGTAATAATAATAATAATAATAATAATAATAATAATAATAATAATAATAATAATAAAAATAATAAAATAAAAAAAAAATTAAAATAAATTAATTAAAAAAAATAATAAAAAGTAGTAAATAAATAAATATTTGCAGAAATTGAATTTTCTTTTTCCTTCAGATCTCCGCCGACGAAATATCCCAGTCCGCAGCATGTCTTCAGGAAAATAATCTAACAAAGAATGAACTTTTGGAAATTTTGGATTCGATTCGAGCCGGTGCCAAGGAAGTGGATTCACGTGTCAAATGCCATACCCATTGTCTGATGAAAAGTTTCGGGCATTTAGATGAAAATGGCAAGTTCGATCCTCAGTCAATTGGTGATGGAACTGATTTATCGGACATTGGTATGGCGGATTTGGAGAAATGCTATGAAGAGTATCAGGCCTCAGATGACAAGTGCGAGTATGCCTATTGTGTTATAACAACAATGGAGAATGTTGAATAAAATTTTGGAAAAACGTTTTGGGATATTTTTAAATTGATTATCAAGAATTTGGAATTTTACTAAAAAATTAAATAAAATGGAATCAAATAATTTTTTTTTTAAAAATTCACCCTAATATTGAAATTATTCATCTGAAATATTTTTCACTTTTTCCTAGTGTTATTAAATTATTTTTAATTGTTCACCATTTAATTACATCTCGCATGCAATGATGAAATTATATTCTGCTCATTTTAATCAAATAAAATCAGTCGGCAAAGCTCACGGAAATTTCAATACTACAGCTTCAACTACAATCCCTACCACGACCACGATGTATCGCCAATGTACAGTCTTGGTACTAGCTCTTCTAATTTTTGTGGGAAAGGTAAAAAACTTTTATCAAAAAAAAAAAAAAAAAAAAAAAAAAAAATAATAATTATAATAAAAATAAATAAATAAAAAAAAAATGAAGAAAAATAATAAATTTCTTTTCTTCCCCTCATTAGATCTCTACCGAAGACACCAGCAAACATACGGCCTGCCTGGAAGAAAATCAAATGTCCGAAGATGAACTCTATAATATTTTGGACGAAATTAAGGCCGGAGCGACAGAAATCGATCGACGTTTTAAATGCTATACCTTTTGTATGATGCAAAGTTGGGAGCATTTGGATGAAAATGGTATTTTGGATATGTCCACGCTTAAACACCACTCCAATATGACGGAAAGTGAGGTGGAACCTTTGGAGAAATGCACCGAAGAGTATCGTGGAAGCGATGACAAATGCGAGTATGGCTACTGTGTTATAGCGGCTTTGGGAAATATGGATTGAAATTTTGTAAATTAAATTAAATGAATAAAAGGGGAAAAATTATTTAAAAAATCATTATTTTGGCGGAATTGAAAAAATATTAAAAAAAACAGGTTTAGTTGGCGCTTTGGAAAAAATATTAAAAAACCAGGTTAAGTTGGGTCCATAAAAAAAAATTATTTATAAAAACCAGGTTTAGTTGGGGACTTGAAAAAAACATTTTAAAAAATCCACATTTTGTTAGGGCCTTAAAAAAATTATCTTAAAATAAAAAAATTGACATTTTGTCAAGGCCTTGAAAAAATATTTGAAAAAATCAAATTTTGTAAAAAATATTTTAAAATCCACGTTTTGTTAGGGCGTTGAAAAAAATATTTTAGAAATCTGCGTTTGGTTAAGGTTTAAAAAAAAATATTTTATGGCCCTGATTAAAATATTTTTAAAAATCCACGAATTGTAATTGAAAACAATATTTAAAAAATGTTAGGGCCTTGAAAATATATTCCACGTTTTGGTAAGGCCTTGTTATTATTTATTTCAAAAGATCCACTTTTTGTTAGAATCTTAACAAGTAATTTTTTTACTTGAAAAAATCATTTTTAAACATCCACGTTTTATGAGGGCCCTTATAAACATTTTTAAAGAGATCCGCGTTTTGTAATGTCTTTGAAAAAATGATTTTAAAAAATCCACGTTTCGTTGATGCCTTGATTTTTTTTAAATATAATTTTCAAGACCATAACAAAACGTGAATTTTTTTTAAAATAATTTTTTCAAGGTCCCAACGTAACGTGGATTTTTTTAAAATAATTTTTTCAAGGCCCCAACAAAACGTGTATTTTTTAAAATATTTTTTAAGGCCCCAAAATAACGTGGATTTTTTAAAATATTTTTTCAAGGCCCCAATATAACGTGGATTTTTTAAACTAATTTTTTCAATGCATCAACAAACGTGAATTTTTTATTATAATTTTTTCAAGGCCCCAACGTAGCGTGGATTTTTTAACATAATATTGTCATGGCCCTAAAAAATTTGGATTTTAAAAAAAAATTGTCATGGCCCTAAAATAACGTGGATTTTTTAAAATAAATTTGCAAGGCCCAAACAAGGCGTGGATATTTTTAAATAATTTTTTCAAGTCCCCAACGTAGCGTGGATTTTTTAAAAACCAAGTAACCAAGTTTGGATTTTTTAAAATAATTATTTTAAGCCCCTAAAAAACGAGGCTTTTTAAAATAAATATAAAGGGTGTTTTTTTAATTTTTTTAAGGCTCTAACGACACGTGGATTTTTTAAAATAATTTAGAGCCTTGCAAAAATTATTTAAAAAAAATCCACGTTTCGTTAGAAAGGTGAAATTTTCTTTTTAATTTGTTTTTTAAAGCCTTACCATTTTCAATTTTTCTTCAAGGTGGCTTTTGGTGGCTGATGGTCCAAACAAATTTCAATGAAAGGCCTTATAAATTTGAGTCCAGAAATATTCTGTTGCCCATTGTTATTCGCCACCGAAATGATTTTTAATTAAACTGCTATAATTTTTTGTTAGGGCCTTGAAAAAAAATATTTAAAAAAATCCATGTTTTGTTAGGGACTCGAAAAAAATATTTAAACAAATCGCGTTTGGTCATGGTCTTAAACAAATTATTTAAAAATCCATGTCTTGTTAGGGCCTTGAAAAAAATATGAAAAAAAACCCACGTTTTGTTAGGTCCATTAAAAAAAAATATTACTATAAAAATCACGTTTTGTTATTACGCTGAAAAAATTGGTTTTCAAAATCGTTTTGTTAGGACTTTGAAAAAAAATATTTTACAAAATTCATGTTTTCTTTGGACCCTGAAATTTTTTTTTTGTAAAATCTACGTTTTATTAGGGCCTTGAAAAAATATTTTAAAGAATCTACGTTTTTTCTCTCCTTGAATAAAAATTGGAAATATTTTTTTGAAAATCCACATTTGTTTAGGTCCATCAAAAAATAATTTTGCAAAACCGCATTCATTGAAAAAATTTTTTTAAACCACACTTGCTTAGGTCTTTTAAAAAATAATTTTTAAAAATCGGCATTCCTTGAAGAAATAATTTTATAAAAGAACCCACGTTTCTCTAGGTCATTCAAAAAATAATTTTTAAAAACTCGCATTTCGTGAAGAAATCAATTTATAGAAATCGAAGTTTATTTAGATTCTTAAAAATAATTTGAAATAATTCAAGTTTATAGGTCCTTAAAAACCACAAATAAAAATTCTAGGTGATTTTTTGTCCTTAAAAAAATATTATTATTTGTGTCCTTGAAAAAATAATTTAAAAAATCCACGTTTATTTAGGTCCTTTGAAAAATAATTTAAAAAACCCTTAAAAAATAAATAATAAAAACCTACATTTGTTTGTGTCCCTTAAAAAAATTAAAAATAAAAATTTTCCTTTTATTTGTGTCCTTAAAAAAATAATTTTGAAAATCAGCATTTATTTAGGTCCTTATAAAAATAATTTAAAAACTCTAAGTTTATAGGACTTTGAAAAATAAATATTAAACAATGTACTATTATTTTTATCCTTGAATAAAAAAATTATAAAAACTCCAATTTTTTTTGTGTTCTTAGAAAAAATAATTTTAAAAATTCACTCATATTTAGGTACTTGGAAAAATAAGTTTAAAAAATCCAGGTTTATAGGTCCTTGAAAAATAAATAATAAAAAATCTAAATTTATTTTTATCCTTGAATAAAAAAATAATAAAAAAAAATAAAAATCCACGTTTATTTAGGTACTTGGAAAAATAATTTAATAAAATCCACGCTTAAAGGTCCCTAGGAAAAATTCTATGTTTATTTTTTATCCTAAAAAAAAAATTACGAAAATTCCAATTTTTTTGTGCACTAAAAATAAATTTAAAAATCCACGTTTATGCATGTCCTTGGAAAAATAATTTAATAAAACCCACCCTTAAAAGTCCTTAAAAAATAAATAATACCCAATCTTGAATTATTCTTGAATAAAAAACAAGTAAAAAAACATTAAGTTCGGCCGGGCCAAACTTTTAATACCCTCCACCCTAGGGAAAAAGAACATTAGAAAAAATGTGGCAAAAAACATTAAAATGCCGAATATCGGGAGGTACCGTTATATAGGGGCTACACCAACACGTGCACCTATAATTACAATGTTTCGCCACACGAACTAGGACCCATTATGACCCACAAATACCAACTTTTACACAAATCAGTGCAAAAATGTGGCATAAATCATCAAAATACCGAATATCGGGAGGTACCGTTATATGGGGACTATACCAGAACGTGGACCTATACATGCAATGTTTTGCCACACGCTCAGGGACCCGTTGTGACCTACAAATACCAATTTTCAGACAAATCCGTGAAAAAATGTGGCATAAATCATCAAAATACCGAATATCGGTAGGTACCGTTATATGGGGGCTATACCAAAACGTGGACCTATACATGCAATGTTTTGGCACACGCTCAGAGACCCGTCATGACCTACAAATACCAATTTTCAGATAAATCCGTGAAAAAATGTGGCATAAATCATCAAAATACCGAATATCGGGAGGTACCGTTATATGGGGACTATACCAGAACGTGGACCGATATATCTCATTTTCAATACCAACCATCCTAGGGACAATACACACACTTGTGCCAAATTTCAAAGGTCTACGTCAAATAAAGTGGGCTCTATCGTGATTTCAACAGACAGACAGACAGACAGACAGACAGACGGACAGACAGACAGACGGACATCGCTAAATCGTCTTAGAATTTTATGCTGATTATGAATATATATACTTTATAGGGTCTACGACGAATATTTAGAGGTGTTACAAACGGAATGACAAAGTTAATATACCCTCCTACCCATGGTGGAGGGTATAAAAATAATAAAAGCTTCAACTTTTATTTGTGTCCTTAGAAAAAATAATTTTAAAATTCCACGCTTACTTAGGTCCTTGGAAAAATAATTTTAAAAATCCACGCTTTGTGCACTAAAAAATAAATTTAAAAACAAATTTTATTTGTGTCCTTAAAAAAAATAAATAATAAATAATAAAAAAATAAATAATAAATAATCTACGTTTATATTTGCCCTTCAATAAATTAATAATAAAAACTCCAATTTTATTTGTGTCCTTAAAAAATAATTTTGAAATCAACGTTTATTTATGTCCTTGGAAAAATAATTTTAAAAATCCACGTTTTATTGGATCCATGGAAATTTAATTTCATTAATTTCGTTCGGATTGGTCCTTGAAAAAATAGTTTATAAAATATCCTGGTTAATACAGGCCTTAAAAAATATATATCAAAAAATCCAAACTTTGGAAAAAAAATTTTTTGAGGACTAATACTTATATAGAGCTTTTGGAAAAAAAATTATAAAAATGCTCAATTTTTATGATCTCCAAAAATTAATTTTTCCAAAAGTCCAATTTTATTTCGGTCCTTTTTTTTCGTTAAATCTAACAATGTATAAGATTGAATATTTTTATAGTTTTTTATATATTTTTATTGCTCTTTATGTAAATTAGCTTTTTTTTGTATTTAAATTTCTCTCATTCATGTTTGAAATAACAATTCGACAATTTAAAGGCATATTCACACTTATCACTCACACCATCATACTCCTTTTTGCATTTCTCTGCCTCATCCTTGTCCTCTCCATCATCCAGAGAGGAAACATCAAATTTACCACTTCCATCAATTAAACCATCACTCTCCATCATGCAATGGGTATAGCATTTAAATTTGGTATCAGCATCCTCGGCTCCGTCTTCCAACTTCTTGACGATCGAATCGAATTCATCTTGCGAGAGGCCATTTTTGTCCAGGCAGGCCGCATGGTCAGCAGAGGTCTTGAAAAAATTGTAATTTACTATTTTTTTATATTTTTTTGCAAATATTTTCCGCTTACCTTTCCGACAACGAATACAACTGCTAGGGCCACACACAAGGCAATGTTGAAAAAATTCATGACGAAAAGGATTTACACTAAGCTGCTTTGGTGGTGAAACTTGCTTTTAAGGTCACTTGATTGTTATTTTTATATGCCATGTCGGGTCTTGCGATCTGCTTGTAATTATTACCTATTGGTTCTATTGTTTGTGGCGGAATGAATAAAAATTCAATAGAACTGAAAATTTGCTGGTGTTAATTAAATAAATTATTATTATTATTAATTTAAAAAAAAGAAACATTTTACGTAATAAAAAGAAAATTTACGTAATAAAATACAGGCGAAAAGAGAGCGTAATGGTTATTAATTTATAATGAGAGAGTATATATCAATTTGATAAAGCCAAGATGTGTCTCATCGAAATAACGGTTTTAGACTTTTGGCCTCTTTGGACCAAATCGCTTTTAGAATATTTGGAGTCGATGTAGGAGTGCCCAGCCGTCTCTCTCTCTCTCTGTCTGGCCAGTGCACACTCGAAGGGATGATCTGGTATCGTCCAAACTTAATACATCGTAAAGTTACACTGTGCAACACAAAGAATAATTACGGGAAAAAATCAGCAGACTATGGAAAAGATTTTACATCGCAAAGTAACCAAAATAGACCCCTCTTTTTCTACACTTTTGGACATTGTCGGCTAAAAATGCTTCGGAATCCGTGCAATTTAGAAATATATTGTCCTCGGCAATATTGCAGATAAAAACACGAGGATATAATAATTTTAAGATTCAAGCGAATCAACAAAGGTGTCTTTTTGGACATTTTTTTGAAAGTGGTTAAAAATCCACTTTCTACGGAATTGTAGCAAGTTCAAATATTCTACAAAGTTATCTGTCATATAATTCTGCTATAGGTCCTAGAAGACGTCAAGGTTCTAATTCTTACCCAAACCCCAGAAATTCATCGACTCCAGTTCTCAACTCTGATTCCCATTCCAAATCTCAAGTTTTTTGCTCTAACCGCTCATACGACAAGAAATGGTACCAAATGTAGTAGGTTTTAGTACTTTTAGTGCGAATTTCCAAAAAAACCTACATTTACAGGCACTCCATCAGTTACCCTCATTTCAAATTTAAGAGCTCTAGATCTACTGCTTCCTCAGATACCAAGGGTACCATACAGGGTGAGATGACAGAACTGCAGCCAAATTCAGACTGCTGTTATTTCTAAGCCAAACGTCCGACGTCTGTTAAAATTATTCCAGTGACAGCTCATTACATTGTTTACAAGCGTACAAAAGCATTTTGTTGAGAATTTTCCAGAAAAAAAGTTATTCGTGATGGAATTCAAGCGGGATAATGTGATTTCTTTATATTTGGCTGGAAAACCGCAAGTTGCTATCGTTAGAGCACTCCATCATTTAAATGTTAATAATTCTTTTGAGTTTCGTAAAAAAGAAAACAGCAACATCAGCAGAAATGGTTCGAAAAGTAAAGAAGCGACTTGATCGAAACCCGCGTCGCAGTGGCCGAAAAATGGCTCGAAAGCTGAACATATCGCAATATTATTCGGCAAATATTGAAAAGCCAGCTCGGGGTAAAGCCATTGAAATTCCAAAAGAAAGAAAATAGACTCAAAAGAGCTAAAGAGTTGCTTCGCTTGGCCGACTGTGGTGAAATGCCGAATTTGGTTTTCTCCGATGAGAAAACATTCGTTGTCGTATTTGCTTGCCAAACAGGTCAGCTGAAAATGTGCACCTTCGGTTGGGTGATGGTGTGGGCCGCTATAAGAGCCGTTGGTCGCTCTCCGCTCGTAGTAATCGACCGTGGCATCAGAATAAATGCCGAATATTATCGCAAAAATATTCTGCAGAATGTATTAAGGCCTTGGGCACGCAAACATTTTGGTCGCAGACCTTGGACATTCCAACAGGACTCAGCATCATCGCACTCAATAGACGCCTACCCAAAAATGGTTACAAAATTAGATTCCTCGCTTCATTTCTTGCACACAATGACCACCAAAATCTCCGGATACCAATGCGTTGGACTATTGTGTCTGGAGTATTTTGGCAAGCAAGGTTGGCACTAAAAAATACCAAAGTGTCGATCACTTCAAGCAAGCGCTTCACCGGGAATGGGCCAAGAAACCGCAGAACAACATTCAGGCAGCGTGTGACGGTTTCATTGGCCTTTTGAAGGCCATAATTCGTGCCAAAGGTGACTAATTCGAACAAATCTAAACTTATTCTAAAATTTGATGGTATTTCCGACATTTGTTGCTTTCATTCAAATAAAATTTAAAATTATGGTGTTTGATTTTGTTGCAGTTTTTTTTTATCTCATCTTTATATGTAGGAGCTATATCCTAATCTGAACCGATCTGGGTAAAATTTGACAGAGGTATTTTCAAGCTGTATCTGATGTGCGGTACCAAATATCTTTCTTGTGGAGTGCATATTACGCATTTGAGGGACATAAAACCCCAAATCGGATGACACATATATATGGGAGCTATAGCTATACCTGATGCGATTTTCACCAAATTTGATGTACTTGCTTCCTGATGGGAACACCAGGATGCACCAAAATTCAGGACCTTTGGACTTATATTGGCCATTTGGTGCACAATTAACCTGAAATCGGTTGAAGATATATGAGAGCTAAAACTGAATCTGATCCGGTTATCACTAATTTCAATAGGGTTCGTCCTTGGGCCAAACAAATGTTGTTTGGAAAATTTCATCTCTATTGGACAATAAATGCGACCTGCATTTTTTCACAAGAATACATGGACGGACGGACAGACGGATTGACATGCATAAATCGATTCAGAAAGTGATTCTATGAAAATCCTCAAAAGTAACTATGGGTCTATCTCGCTTCCTTCACCATGTTACAAAAACAAATTCACAGAGACATTACAACCTTACCACTAGGTGGTGTAGGGTATAAAAACCATACTAACAGTAACATTTTTGCAGGACTGTGTGATATAATTTCAAAATCAAAATCGACAAAATAGATTTGGATGTAACGGAGCTTACCAATATCTTAAAATGTTGTTGGGTATCATATGGACGGCCCCGTATGACTACAGCATTTCATAACCAGATTTCAAATATATTTTATTATGACTAGGAGATTTTTTTAAATAAAAATATAAAATATTTAGTAAATATTATTTTTTAATGTATATTTTTTCCAAATTCCTCCCACAATTTTTTTATTCACTCATCTTCAACCAAACTACTTGTAAACGCCTCCATAAAACAGGCAGTCACTTCGAAGGCATATTCACATTTATCCTCAATATTATCCTTTTCCGATTTACATTTTTCCACTGCTGCCATATCTTGATCGGTCATATTTTGATCATTGAAAGTCTCCACATCCAATTTACCATCCTCACCGAAATGACCCCAACGCTCCAGCATACAATGGGCATAGCATTTGAAGCGCTCATCCACAGCAGTTGCATCATCGTACAGCGAGTCCATTAGGTCATCGATTTCATCCTCACCTATCTCGGATTCTTTTAGGCAGATGGCGTGGCGCAAGTCGTCCGCATCGTCGGCCGAGATCTGAAAAAAAAAAAAATTATAAAAATGTAATGAAATTTTCAAAATTGCCTTTAATTGTCACTTTGCAATCAGCGATTTCAATCAAGGTTTACACAATAATTTCCTACCTACCTTTTCCACAACAGAAACGATAATAAATGCAATGCCCAACACAATTTGCGGAAAATTCATAATTATAGGTTTGAGCTCTGGTGGTGTTCTAAAATTGAAGTTCTATTGAAGAGAGCTCTTTGTTTTTATATGTGACAGGCGAGAAAAGCTTTCAATTTTCGCAATTGGTGTGCAGCTTTCATTTATTTCTATACGAGTGGAGAGATTTTGATAATATCGCTAGGGAGACAATAACAAATCGAATAAAATTATATAACAATAATTAAAAAAAAACTCGAAGAAAAATAAAATGCAAATTTACACACGGCAACAAAATTCCAAATATCCACATCGGCGGATAAAATTAAATTATCCTCGCTGATGAATAAAATTATCCTCGTTGAAGGATAAAATTATCCACAGTGGTGGATGAAGTTATCAACATTTGTCTTTAAAATTATCCAGGTTGGTGGATATGGTTATCCTCTTTTGTGGATAAAATTATCCTGGTTGGTAGTTAAAATTTTCCACATTGGTGGAATAAATTATCCACATCGGTGTACAAAATTACCCACATCGGTGGATAAAATTACCCACATCGTTGGATGAAATTACCCACATCAGTGGATAAAATTATCGATGTTGGTGAATATGATCCTCTTTCATCTCTTCTATGAGAAGACCTCTAGCTGTTCTATGAGAAGAATTTCTAAGAATAAACCCTTTGGGATTATACCCTCTGCTCTTCTCTGGAAAGAGACCTTCTGCTCTTCAAAATATTTTTTCAAGGATCAAGACAATCGTGGATTTTTTAAAAAAAATTTTTAAAGGATCAAGACAAACGTGGATTTTTTAAAAATATTTTTTCAAAGATCAAGACAAACGTGGATTTTTTAAAAATATTTTTTTGAAGATCAAGACAATTGTGGATTTTTTAAAAATATTTTTTTGAGGATCTGCATAACGTGAATTTGTAAAAAAAATTAAAACGATCATGATAAACGTGGATTTTTTAAAAATATTTTTTTGAGGATTTGCATAACGTGGATTTTTTAAAAATATTTTTTTGAGGATTTGCATAACGTGGATTTTTTAAAAATATTTTTTGAGGAAAAAACTTCCATAGGTCAACGTGGATTTTTTAAAAAAAATATTTTTTTGAGGATTTGCATAACGTGGATTTTTCAAAAATATTTTCTCAAACATCCATAGGTCAACTTGGATTTTTTAAAAATATTTTTTTAAACATCCATAGGTCAACGTGGATTTTTTAAAAACATTTTTTTCAAACATCCATAAGTCAAAGTGGATTTTTTAAAAATATTTTTTCAAACATCCATAGGTCAACGTGGATTTTTTAAAAATATTTTTTCAAACATCCATAGGTCAACGTGGATTTTTTAAAAATATTTTTTCAAACATCCATAGGTCAACGTGGATTTTTTAAAAATATTTTTTCAAACATCCATAGGTCAACGTGGATTTTTTAAAAATATTTTTTCAAACATCCGTAGGTCAACATCCATAGGTAAACGTGGATTTTTTAAAAATATTTTTTCAAACATCCATAGGTCAACGTGGATTTTTTAAAAATATTTTTTCAAACATCCGTAGGTCAACATCCATAGGTAAACGTGGATTTTTTAAAAATATTTTTTCAAACATCCATAGGTCAACGTGGATTTTTTAAAAATATTTTTTCAAACATCCATAGGTCAACGTGGATTTTTTAAAAATATTTTTTCAAACATCCATAGGTCAACGTGGATTTTTTAAAAATATTTTTTCAAACATCCATAGGTCAACGTGGATTTTTTAAAAATATTTTTTCAAACATCCGTAGGTCAACATCCATAGGTAAACGTGGATTTTTTAAAAATATTTTTTCAAACATCCATAGGTCAACGTGGATTTTTTAAAAATATTTTTTCAAACATCCATAGGTCAACGTGGATTTTTTAAAAATATTTTTTCAAACATCCGTAGGTCAACATCCATAGGTAAACGTGGATTTTTTAAAAATATTTTTTCAAACATCCATAGGTCAACGTGGATTTTTTAAAAATATTTTTTCAAACATCCGTAGGTCAACATCCATAGGTAAACGTGGATTTTTTAAAAATATTTTTTCAAACATCCATAGGTCAACGTGGATTTTTTAAAAATATTTTTTCAAACATCCGTAGGTCAACATCCATAGGTAAACGTGGATTTTTTAAAAATATTTTTTCAAACATCCATAGGTCAACGTGGATTTTTTAAAAATATTTTTTCAAACATCCATAGGTCAACGTGGATTTTTTAAAAATATTTTTTCAAACATCCATAGGTCAACGTGGATTTTTTAAAAATATTTTTTCAAACATCCATAGGTCAACGTGGATTTTTTAAAAATATTTTTTCAAACATCCATAGGTCAACGTGGATTTTTTAAAAATATTTTTTCAAACATCCATAGGTCAACGTGGATTTTTTAAAAATATTTTTCAAACATCCATAGGTCAACGTGGATTTTTTAAAAATATTTTTTCAAACATCCATAGGTCAACGTGGATTTTTTAAAAATATTTTTTCAAACATCCATAGGTCAACGTGGATTTTTTAAAAATATTTTTTCAAACATCCATAGGTCAACGTGGATTTTTTAAAAATATTTTTTCAAACATCCGTAGTTCAACATCCATAGGTCAACGTGGATTTTTTAAAAATATTTTTTCAAACATCCATAGGTCAACGTGGATTTTTTAAAAATATTTTTTCAAACATCCGTAGGTCAACATCCATAGGTAAACGTGGATTTTTTAAAAATATTTTTTCAAACATCCATAGGTCAACGTGGATTTTTTAAAAATATTTTTTCAAACATCCATAGGTCAACGTGGATTTTTTAAAAATATTTTTTCAAACATCCATAGGTCAACGTGGATTTTTTAAAAATATTTTTTCAAACATCCATAGGTCAACGTGGATTTTTTAAAAAAAATTCAAACATCCATAGGTCAACGTGGATTTTTTAAAAATATTTTTTCAAACATCCATAGGTCAACGTGGATTTTTTAAAAATATTTTTTCAAACATCCATAGGTCAACGTGGATTTTTTAAAAATATTTTTTCAAACATCCGTAGGTCAACATCCATAGGTCAACGTGGATTTTTTAAAAATATTTTTTCAAACATCCATAGGTCAACGTGGATTTTTTAAAAATATTTTTTCAAACATCCGTAGGTCAACATCCATAGGTAAACGTGGATTTTTTAAAAATATTTTTTCAAACATCCATAGGTCAACGTGGATTTTTTAAAAATATTTTTTCAAACATCCATAGGTCAACGTGGATTTTTTAAAAATATTTTTTCAAACATCCATAGGTCAACGTGGATTTTTTAAAAATATTTTTTCAAACATCCGTAGGTCAACATCCATAGGTAAACGTGGATTTTTTAAAAAAAATTCAAACATCCATAGGTCAACGTGGATTTTTTAAAAAAAAATTCAAACATCCATAGTTCAACATGGATTTAGAAAAAATATGTCAAACATCCATAGGTCAACGTGGATTTTTTAAAAATATTTATCCTCTGCTCTTCTCTGAGAAGAGACCTTCTGCCCTTCTCTGAGAAGAGACCTTCTTCTCTTCTCTGAGAAGTGGCATCTTTTGCTCTTCTTTGAGAAGAGAATTTAAATTTTCTCTGTGAAGAGTCCTTTTGCTCTTCTCTAATAAAATTCCACCCTCTCTCTTTTAGAAATTATATTTTCAATTAAGTTTTAATTTTCAACATTTATTTTCCCCAATTTTTTGTTTATTCTAAATCCTTGTATCCCTCCATTGCACAAATTGTTACCGTAAAAACATATTCACACTGATCATCGATGTCGTTATGTCGCTCAATGCAGTTTCCCAATACTTTTAAATGATCTTCGGAAAGATGTTGATCCTCCTTTATCCACTCGATTCGAAAACGTCCATCCTCATCCAAATGACCCCAGCCGATCATGATACAGTGCATATAGCATTTATATCTCACATCAATGTCGTTTGGAATCGTGGCCAACAAATTGGTCATGGTCGTGGTCTCATTATCACTTAAGCCATACATTCGACGGCATTTGTTGTGAGTGACTTCGGCAAAGGTCTGAAATTAGGTTAGATTTTTAAAATATCGATTTCGGGAAAAAATATATATAAAATACCTTCGCCTTTGTCAGGGCCGCCGCTGTGACAACAATAAATAGGATTTTCAGTACATGCATGCTGGGAATTTGAACTGTGTGTTTCCAAGGTATGTGGTTGGTAAATTGAAAAATTATGGTATGCGGGCAATGGTTTTATACAGTTTGGAAATTATTTTTAATTATATGTCCGGGTGAATATGTATTGAAATCAAGTTCACATTTTTCAATTCTTTAGAAATAAGAAATGGCTAGTAAATGAAAATGGAAATTAGTTTAAGTTGGGTCGACACATGTGAACACCAAACATGAATTTTTAAATATTTTTTTAAAAATTTTAATAATCATGGTTTTCTAAAAATATTTTTTCAAATACTTGCAAAAACGTGGGTTTTTTTAAATGTTTTTTTCACGCGGATTTTTTAAAAATATTTTTTCAAGAATCAAGACAAACTTGTATTTTTTTAAAAATATTTTTTCAAGGATTAAGACAACCGTGGATTTTTAAAAATATTTTTTTCAAGGATCTAGACAAACGTGGATTTTTTAAAATTTTTTTTTCAAGCATCCACAGGTCAACGTGGATTTTTTATAAATATTTTTTGAAGCATCCACAGGTCAACGTGGATTTTTTATAAATATTTTTTCAAAGATCCATAGATCAACGTGGATTTTTTAAAAATATTTTTTCAAATATCAGTAGGTCAACGTGGATTTTTTTAAAATATTTTTTCAAACATCCATAGGTCAACGTGGATTTTTTAAAAATATTTTTCAAAGATCCATAGATCAACGTAGATTTTTTAAAAATATTTTTTCAAACATCCATAGGTCAACGTGGATTTTTTAAAAATATTTTTTCAAAGATCCATAGGTCAACGTGGATTTTTTAAAAATATTTTTTCAAACATCCATAGGTCAACGTGGATTTTTTAAAAATATTTTTTCAAACATCCATAGGTCAACGTGGATTTTTTAAAAATATTTTTTCAAACATCCATAGGTCAACGTGGATTTTTTAAAAATATTTTTTCAAAGATCCATAGATCAACGTGAATTTTTTAAAAATATTTTTTCAAGCATCCATAGGTCAACGTGGATTTTTTAAAAATATTTTTTCAAGCATCTATAGGTCAACGTAGATTTTTTAAAAATATTTTTTCAAGCATCCATAGGTCAACGTGGATTTTTTAAAAATATTTTTTCAAACATCCATAGGTCAACGTGGATTTTTTAAAAATATTTTTTCAAACATCCATAGGTCAACGTGGATTTTTTAAAAATATTTTTTCAAAGATCCATCGATCAACGTCGATGTTTTAAAACTATTTTTTAAAGATCCATAGATCAACGTGGATTTTTTTAAAATATTTTTTCAAAGATCCATAGATCAACGTAGATTTTTTTAAAATATTTTTTCAAAGATCCATAGATCAACGTGGATTTTTTTAAAATATTTTTTCAAAGATCCATAGATCAACGTGGATTTTTTAAAAATATTTTTTCAAACATCCATAGGTCAACGTGGATTTTTTAAAAATATTTTTTCAAACATCCATAGGTCAACGTGGATTTTTTAAAAATATTTTTTCAAACATCCATAGGTCAACGTGGATTTTTTAAAAATATTTTTTCAAACATCCATAGGTCAACGTGGATTTTTTAAAAATATTTTTTCAAACATCCATAGGTCAACGTGGATTTTTTAAAAATATTTTTTCAAACATCCATAGGTCAACGTGGATTTTTTAAAAATATTTTTTCAAACATCCATAGGTCAACGTGGATTTTTTAAAAATATTTTTTCAAACATCCATAGGTCAACGTGGATTTTTTAAAAATATTTTTTCAAACATCCATAGGTCAACGTGGATTTTTTAAAAATATTTTTTCAAACATCCATAGGTCAACGTGGATTTTTTAAAAGAAATTTTTCAAGAGATCTTCTGCTCTTCTGTGAGAAGAGACCTTCTTCACTTTTCTGAGAGGAAACCTTCTACTCTTCTTTGAGAAGAGACGGTTTGCTCTTCTGCGAGAAAGGATCTTCTGCTCTTCTGTGAGAAGAGACCTTCTTCTCTTTTCTGAGAAGAAACCTTCTGCTATTTAATGAGGAGACATCTCCTGCTCTTCTTTGAGAAGAGAATTTCAATCTTCTCGATGAAGAGTCCTTTTGCTCTTCTCTAATTATACTCCACCCTCTCTCTTTAGGAAGTTATATTTTCAATTAAGTTTTAATTTTCAACATTTATTTTCCCCAATTTTTTGTTTATTCTAAATCCTTATATCCCTTCATTGCACAAATTGTTATCGTAAAAACATATTCACACTGATCATCGATGTCATTATGTAGCTCAAGGCAGTTTTCCAATACTTTCACATGATCTTCGGAAAGATGTTGATCCTCCTTTATCCACTCGATTCGAAAACGTCCATCCCCATTCAGATGACCCCAGCCGATCATGATACAGTGCATATAGCATTTATATCTCACATCAATGTCGCTTGGAATCGTGGCCAATAAATTGGTCATGGTCGTGGTCTCATCATCACTTAGGCCATACATTCGACGGCATTCGTTGTGAGTGACTTCGGCAAAGGTCTTGAATAAGGTTAGATTTTTAAAATATCTATTTCCGGGAAAAAATTTACAATTTACCTTCGCCTTTGTCAGGGCCGCCGCTGTGACAATAATAAATACGATTTTCAGAAAATGCATGATGGGAATTTAAACTGTGTGTTTCCAAGGTATATGGCTGGTTGAGTGAAAAATTATGGTGTGCGGTCAATGGTTTTATACAGTTTGGAAATTATTTTTAATTATATGTCTGGGTAAATATGTTTTATAATCAAGTTGTTATTTTTAAATTCTTTAGAAATAAGAAATGTCTGGGATATGAAAATGGAAATTAGTTTAAGTTGGGTCAACACTAGGAACACCAAACATGATTTTTTAAAAATTATAAAATATTTCTTTAAAGACTTTAATAATCATGGATTTTTAAAAATCCAAGCATCCATAGGTCAACGTGGATTTTTTAAAAATATTTTTTCAAGCATCCATAGGTCAACGTGGATTTTTTAAAAATATTTTTTCAAGCATCCATAGATCAACGTGGATTTTTTTAAAATAATTATTCAAAGATCCATAGATCAACGTGGATTTTTTAAAAATATTTTTTCAAGTAACTCTAAAAACCTGGATTTTTTAAACATATTTCTTCAAGTAACTCTAAAAACCTGGATTTTTAAAAATATTTTTTTCGAGTAACTCTAAAAAACCTGGATTTTTTAAAAATATTTATTAAAGCATCCATTGGTCAACGTAGATTTTTTTAAAAATATTTTTTCAAGCATCCATAGGGCAACGTGCATTTTTTAGAAATACTTTTTAAAGTATCCCAAGGTGAACGTGTTTTTTTTAAATATTTTTTCAAACATCCATAGTTCAACGTGGATTTTTTAAAAATATTTTTTCAAGTATCCAAAGGTCAACGTAGATTTTTTAAAAATATTTTTGCAAGGATACATAGATCAACGTGGATTTTTTAAAAATATTTTTTAAGAATCCATAGGTCATCGTAGATTTTTCAAAAATATTTTTTCACGAATCCATAGGTCAACGTGGATTTTTTAAAAATATTTTTTCAAGCATCCATAAGTCAACTTGGATTTTTTAAAAAATATTTTTCGAAGATCCATAGATCAACGTGGATTTTTTAAAAATATTTAATCAAACATCCATACCTCAACGTGGATTTTTTAAAAATATTTTTTCAAAGATCCACAGATCAACGTGGATTTTTTAAAAATAATTTTTCAAGAGATCTTCTGCTCTTCTGTGAGAAGAGACCATCTTCACTTTTCTGAGAGGAAACCTTCTACTCTTCTCTGAGAAGAGACGTTCTGCTCTTCTGCGAGAAGGGATCTTCTGCTCTTCTCTGAGGAGACATCTCCTGCTCTTCTTTGAGAAGAAAATTTCAATCTTCTCGGTGAAGAGACCTTTTGCTTTTTCTAATAAAAATCCATCTCCTCTCTTTTGGGAATTATATTTTAATTACATTTTTGTTGCAAAATTTATTTTCCCCAATCTTTTTTTTATTCCAAATCCTTGTATCCCTCCATTGCACAAATTGTTGTCGTAAAAACATATTCACACTGATCATCGATGCCGTTATGTCGTTCAATGCAGTTTTCCAATACTTTCAAATGATCTTCGGAAAGATGTTGATCCTCCTTTATCCATTCGATTCCAGATGACCCCAGCCGATCATGATACAGTGCATATAGCATTTATATCTCACATCAATGTCGTTTGGAATCGTGGCCAACAAATTGGTCATGGTCGTGGTCTCATTATCACTTAAGCCATACATTCGACGGCATTTGTTGTGAGTGACTTCGGCAAAGGTCTGAAATTAAGTTAGATTTTTAAAATATCGGTTTCCGGGAAAAATTTACAATTTACCTTCGCCTTTGTCAGGGCCGCCGCTGTGACAATAATAAATACGATTTTGAGGAAATGCATGCTGGGAATTTAAACTGTGTGTTTTCAAGGTATGTGGCTGTTAAATTGAAAAATTATGGTTTGCGGCAATGGTTTTATACAGTTTGGAAATTATTTTTAATTATATGTCTGGGTAAATATGTTTTATAATCAAGTTGTTATTTTAAATTCTTTAGAAATAAGAAATGAAATTAATTTAAGTTGGGTCGACACTCGGAACACCAAACATGATTTTTTTTAAAATTTAAAATATTTCTTTAAAGACTTTAATAATCATGGATTTTTAAAAATAATTTTTCTAATACCTCGAACAAGCATGGGTTTTTTGCAAAAAAATTTTTCAAGTACCTCACAAAAACGTGGATTTTTTAAAAGTATTATTTTTTTAAGAATTAAGACAAACGTGAATTTTTTAAAAATATTTTTTCAAGGATCAAGACAAACGTTTATTTTTTTTAAAATATGTTTTTTAAATATATTTTTCAGGGATCAAGACAAACGTGGAATTTTTAAAAATATATATTTTTTAAATATTTTCAAGAATCAAGTCAAACGTGGAATTTTTAAAAATATATATTTTTTTTAAATATTTTCAAGAATCAAGACAAACGTGGAATTTTTAAAAATATTTTTTCAAGGATCAAGACAAACGTGGAGTTTTTAAAAAAATTTTTTCAAGGAAAAAGACAAGCGTCTATTTTTTTAAAAAAAAAAATTTTAAAATTTTTTCAGGGATCGAGACAATCGTGGATTTTTTAAAAATAATTTTTTTTTAAAGTAGTTTCAAGGATCAAGACAAACATGGATTTTTTAAATTTTTTCAAGAATCAAGACAAACGTGGAATTTTTAAAAATATTTTTTTAAGGATCAAGACAAATTGGAGTTTTTAAAAATATTTTTTTCAAGGATCAAGACAAACGTGGAATTTTTAAAAATATTTTTTCAAGGATCAAGACAAACGAGGATTTTTTAAAAATATTTTTTCAAGTAACTCCAAAAACGTGGATTTTTAAAAATATTTTTTCAAGGATCCATAGCTCAACGAGGATTTTTTAAAAATATTTTTCAAGCATCCATAGGTCAAAGTGGATTTTTTAAAAATATTTTTTCAAGCATCCACAGATCAACGTAGATTTTTTATAAATATTTTTGGAAGCATCCATAGGTCAACGAGGATTTATTAAACAATTTTTTTCCAGCATCCATAGGTCAACGTGGATTTTTTAAAAATATTTTTTTAAGTAACTCTAAAAACGTGGATTTTTTAAAAATATTTTTTTCAAAGATCCATGGATCAACGTGGATTTTTAAAAATATTTTTTAAGCATCCATAGGCTAACCTGGATTTTTTAAAAAAATTTTTTTAAACATCCATAGGTCAACGTGGATTTTTTAAAAATATTTTTTAAGCATCCATAGGTCAACGTGGATTTTTTAAAAATATTTTTTAAGCATCCATAGGTCAACGTGGATTTTTTTTAAGCATCCATAGGTCAACGTGGATTTTTTAAAATATTTTTTAAGCATCCATTGGTCAAAGTGGATTTTTTAAAAATATTTTTTAAGCATCCAGAGGTCAAGGTGGATTTTTTAAAAATATTTTTTTAATTAATTCTAAAATCGTGGATTTTTAAAAAAAATATTTTTTCAAGCATCGTGCATTTTTTAAAAATATTTTTTTAAGCATCGTGGATTTTTTAAAAATATTTTTTCAAGCATCGTGGATTTTTTAAAAATATTTTTTCAAGCATCGTGGATTTTTTAAAAATATTTTTTCAATTACTCTAAATCGTGGATTTTTAAAAAAATATATTTTTTCATGCATCCATAGGTCAACGTGGATTTTTTAAAAATATTTTTTCAAACATCCATAGGTCAACGTGGATTTTTTAAAAATATTTTTTCAAACATCCTTAGGTCAACGTGGATTTTTTAAAAATATTTTTTCAAACATCCATAGGTCAACGTGGATTTTTTAAAAATATTTTTTAAAAGATCCATAGGTCAACGTGGATTTTTTTAAAAATATTTTTTAAGCATCTATAGTTCATCGTGGATTTTTTTAAAAATATTTTTTCAAGTAACTCTAAAAACGTGTTTTTTTTAAAAAAAATATTTTTTTAAGCATCCAAAGGTCATCGTGGATTTTTTAAAAATATTTTTTAAGTATCCATAGGTCAACGTGGATTTTTTAAAAATATTTTTTCAAGCATCTATAGATCAACATGGATTTTTTAAAAATATTTTTCAAGCATACATAGGTCAACATGGATTTTTTAAAAATAATTTTTAAGCATGTGAATTTTTATGCATCCATAAGTCCTCGTGGATTTTTTAAAAATATTTTTTCAAGTAACACTAAAAACGTGGATTTTTTAAAAATATTTTTTCAAGTAACACTAAAAACGTGGATTTAAAAAAAACCTAAACCTGAAGAAACCTAGGCTTTTCGAAAAGATATTTTCAAGGACCTAAAGAAAGATGTTTTAAAAATATTTTTTAAAGATTTAAAAATCATGGATTTTTTAAAAATATTTTTTAAGGATTTTAAAAAATGGATTTTTTAAAGATTGAAAAAAACATGGATTTTTAACATTTTTTTAAGGATTTAAGAAAAACACTGTTCGTTTAAAAATATTTTGTAAGGATTCAAAAAAATTGATGTATTAAAGATTTAAAAAAACATAAATTTTTAAATTTTTTTTTTAAGGATTTAAAAAAATGTTTTTTTTTTTTTTATTTTTGTTAAGGATTTAAAAAAATATGTATTTTTAAATTTAGGGATTTAGGGATATGGGTTTTTTAAAAATATTTTTTAAGGATTAAAAAAATGGATTTTTTAAAAATATTTTTTTAAGGATTTAAAGAAACATGGATTTTTAAAAAAACGAATTTTTTTTAAATATATTTTCGAGGATCTGAAGAAACAATCTACGTTTGGATTGGTTTTTAAATATTCTCAGAGATATTTTAAATTCTTTTCCTTTTTCTATGTTAATATTTGTTCTTTCTTTATTTAATTTGAATTTTTTGATCTTAATCTTAATTTCACTACCCCATTCTCTCCTCAGCTTCCTTCCTGATCTGGGCCATGACACATGTAGACAATGTGAAAACATATTCACATTGGTCCTCCACGGCCTCATGTTGCTCCCCACATTCAGTGAAAATTTCCACATGTCTCTCGGGCAGATATTGCTGTTCCTGGATTTTTTCGATCACAATTTTCCCACTCTCATTCAGGTGGCCATAACCCGACATCATACAGTGCATATAACATTTGAAACGATTATCGATATCCAATGACATTTTCTCTGCCATTTCTTGAAACTCATTTTCGGTCAGCTCATGTTTTTCCAGGCATTCCGCATGTATCATCGAGCGATCGGGAAGGGGCTATGGAATACATTTTAAAAATATTTTTAATTTCTGATTTTTTTTAAATATAATTCTTTGTGTATACCTCTCCGGTAGCCAATACAGCACATATAGCAATGAAAAGAGCACCTTTCAGCAGCTGCATTTTTGAGAACTGAACTATATTATTTTTTATAAATTAATTCAGTGTTATGTTGTTTGTTTTTATTGCAGTTTGTATTTTATTTTTAATTTTATAATTGCATGTTTTTGCACAAATTACAATAATGAGAATTATAGAGAAAGTGTAATTATTATTTTAAATTAATTACAGCAATCAAAAAATCACCGGAGGCATCAATTGTTTAAAATGGTTTAATAAAACAAAGCAATAAATAAAAAGTGAATTAAAACATCGATAAAATGATATACTTGGTCGGAATGACTTAAAAACATTATTTAAAAAAATATCCGCATTATGGGGACTGAGAAAGCAATAGCTATAGTCGGGCGGGACCGATCATGTGATACCCAACAATACTGTTAGATATTGAAAACCTCTCCTAGGTCTAAATCAGTTTCTGGTTGATTTCGTTATTAAAATAATAATGGGTTTTTAAAGTTTCCATAGCAAGTAAGAGAGGTGGTAAGATCCCCCCTTTTTCCTCACTTCTGGAAATTTTCGGATTAAGATTCACCGAAATCCGCTCATTCTAGTTATGTAGTGTCTTCGAAAATATTGCAGTCTTAAGAATATTTATGTGGGACACGAAAACTTTTCCGATTTTTTTTTCATTTTTTTGAGGGACTTTCGCGGTAATAATCGTGGATTTTTTTCGGAGTATTTTTTTTTTGAGGCACCCATATAGCAATAATTATAATTTTTTTCAGAGTATTTTTTAGCTCTTCTCAGGCAGTTACAATGGGATTTCCACTTATTTCCACCCCTGACCTTCCGGCAAATAGCCGATATTTTTTCTGAATATTTTTTGGGGCATCCCATATTTTGGTTTTATTTAAACCCTTAAGGAAGTCTTTTTGGTAATTTTTTATAGTATTATTAAAAAAAACTCTCTTTAGAAGGAATGTCATAAAATTCTACTATAGGTCCTGGAAGATGTCAAGAATCTAAATCTAACCTCAACGCCAGGAATTATTGAAACACATTTGCCGGTTAAAGGCGTAATATATGTGAACTTGTGTTAAAATCTCCAATTGTGCATCATTTTAGAAAGATGACGCGGTGCTTTAAACTTTTTAACCTAAAAAAACTTGTAATACCCCAACACATGGAGTTGTAGAAACAATAGTTAGAGGTCTTCACTTTTCCTCAGAAGCCTTCAAAACAAACCCTGAAAAAAATCTTCAAGAAAACACACTAATATTGTCCTGAGAATCTATAGCAAAATATTCTTAAAAACTCACGATTACAGCCCGTAGGGTTCTTAAATACATTCCGAAAACCACCGAGAGAGCCTCACGAAATAATTTGAAAAAATCCAAAAATTTAAGACTGAGGATCTGCTGAAAATACTTAAAAAAAGGCCCTGAGAGTCCTTAAAAACATGCACTCTGGGCCCCTCAAAACTGTTCTGAAAAACACTTGATTAGGAGATTCCTCTAAACATTAGCTTTCATTGTCCTGAAGGTACCTTAAAAATATTGTAAAAAATCCATGATAAGTATTCTGAGGGTCCAAAATTCCATACTCATACCAGGTTTCTGGTTGAGAGAAATATTTAGATATAGCAAGTTATAAAGAATCGCTGACTTTTTTCGCAAGTTATGACAAATAAAGGTATTGAAAATTGTAACCCTTTGGGCGTGAGGTACCAAAAGGGGCTCGAAAATATATATCATCTTATCAACAGATCTTGTGTAGTAAAAATGTTTGTGTGTGTGACATTTGAAGAGAGTTGGATGTTTATTTCGCTTTCTTTGAGCGTTTTGTTTTTCAAAATCTCGAATCCTATGTGAGTGAGTTACCAGAATGAATGGTTCGATCTCTAGCATCTTTATGACAGATCTTGTGTTGATGTAAATATTGAGATGTACCAGTTCGAAATGGAATCGGATGTTAATTTCGCGTTTTATGAGCTTCGTGGGCATTAAAAACTTTGACCCTTTGTGAGGGAGGTACCAGAAAGAGTGGACCGATTTATCATATTATCATATTCACAGCAGATCTTGTGTTAGTAGACATAATGGGATGTGTGAAATATGAAGAGAACCGGATTCTAATTTCGGATTTTTTAATCGTTTTGGTTATTCAAAACTTTGACCCTTTGTGGGGGAGGTACCGGAAGGAGTGGACCGATTCACAGATTCACAGAAGATCTTGTGTTAGTAGAAACAACGGGACGTGTGAAATATGAAGAGAACAGGATTCTTATTTCGGATTTTATGATCGTTTTAGTTATTCAAAACTTTGACCCTTCGTGGGGAGGTAACGGAAGGAATGGCCCGATCTCTACCATTTTTATAACAAATCTTGGGTTGATGAAAAAATTGATATCTATCAAGTCTGAATGGAATGCATGTTAATTCTGCGTTTTATCAGCTTCGGGGATATTCAAAATGTTGACCCGTTGTGGGAAAGGTACCAGAAGGAGTGGACCGGTTTATCCCATCTTTACATCAGATCTTGTGTTAGTAGAACTACTGGGATATGTGAAATATGAGAGAACCGGATTCTTATTTCGGTTTAATCGTTTTTTAATAGTATTGGTTATTCAAAACTTTGACCCTTTAAGTGGGAGGTACCAGAAGGAATGGTCCGATTTCTATTATCTTTTTAACAGATCTTGTGTTGATGAAAATATTTATATATATATATCAAGTATAAATGGAAACGTATGTTAATTCTGCGTTTTATGAGCTTCGCGGATATTCAAAATGTTGACCCGTTGTGGGGGAGATACCAGAGAAAGTGGTCCAAAGTATCACATCCTTACAGTAGACCTTATGTTAACAGAAAGATTGCGATTTGTGTAATTCGAAGACAATCAGTCTTCTACCTCACATTTAATAAGAGTTATAATTATTCCAAATGTTGACTCTTTATGGGGGAGGTACTTGATGGAGTGGACCGATATTGTCAATTTTCTTATCAGACCAAGCATTATGTAAATATTAGGATTTGCAGTTGGTGCAAAATTGGATTATCCTTTCTCTCGCTGTGCAGTAAATTATATTCTTTGAAATTTTCGACTTTTTGTGGGGGAGGTACCAGAAGGAGTGGACCGATATTGCCCATCTCCGAACTTGTTCTAAGTTTGATAATAATATTACGAGGTACCAAGTTTGGACCAGATCGGATGCTTCCTTCGCACCAACCAGCCATATTGACGGTTGGACAGAAGGGCGGTTGGACGGACATCGCTAGATCGACTCCAAATGTCATAAAACGGATTTGGTCCAAAGTGACCTAGGTTCAAAGATAAGATAAGATAAGGCACGTTTTGGCTGATATATGCACTCTCTAGCCATATGGCTGAGGGTATAAAAATCCACGAAATCCACGAAAAATACCCGAAAAATACTTTTTAAAAGCCTATCAATTATTACCTTGAGAGTGTATCAAAAATATTCCAAAAAATCTACCATTTTGACTTAGAGGTAAATAAAAAAAATACTTCGAAAAAAAATCACAATTGCTACCTTGAGAGCCCCTTAGAAATATCATTAAAATAGTCGCTATAACTACCCTGAAGTTCGAGAAGATCTAAAAATATTGGCCTGTGAGTCCCTCAAAAATATCCTTATATACCCGCCAAATATTTTGAAAAAAGGTATGACCATTGTAATGAAAGTCTGTCAAAAATATTCGAAAACAAGTAAGCAAAGGCTATAGTCGTGCGGGGCCGACCATGTCATACCCTACAACACTACAATATGTCAGAAGCCCCCTTTTGTCCAAATTTATTTTGGAAGATTTCGCCTTGGACATTATGTCATGGCGCACTGCCCAGATTTTACCCTTAGCATTTTGAACAGGGACATTTGCCCTGTATATAATAACCCCAACCTGTGTTGTAAGGTGAAAAAATATTACAAAATATACACCTCAATATTATAAGTCACAATGAAAAAAAAACGCATGCGATAAAAAATATGAAAAATAACAAAAAAAGCAACAAAATACTATAAAATCTATATTCACATCATTATTGGCCTCTTTTTATGCGATTTTTTTAGATTTTATAATTTTATGTTAAGAGGGCATTCTGAATTGACAAAATTTGTCGATATCTGTCTAGCCATTCTTGAGATATAAGCATTCTAACTAACATCCCCTCCCTTTGTATATACACATTGTACATATTTCGCTATATATATCCGATATATTTACTATCGGTATCTACGCAACGTTCAGAATTGACCTCTTCACCTATTTGTGATTTCGCCGGGATTAAAAAAATATTCGCGGTTTAATGAAAAATTTGACTTTTATTTAACAGAAATGTTATGGTCTATTTCACCCACTAAATATTACCCGATGACCATCAAAATTGGAAGGCTTCTGCCCAACCTTAAGCTCTAGCCCCATAATAACTTCTGCTTTTATTGGTCTATAATTACGACCTGTAGAGCAACTGCAAAATTAGGAAAATTTTCTGTTTTTGGTCCATTTCAACCCCTAAATATTATGCGATCAACTCCAAAAGAAATAGGGTTCTATTCTAAATTTCGTGAAGATCGGGCCATAATTGCGACCTGTAGAGTGATTACAAATTAACATGGACAGACGGACAGACGGACAGACGGACAGACGGACGGACGGACATACATAGCTATATCGACTCAGCCCGGCGAGATAGGAAGATCCATATATACTTTCCTATGTGGAAAACCAATATTTCGAGGTGTTACATAACTTTTGGGCCATTTAAAATTATAATACCCCCCAAAACATAGTGTTGTAGGGTATATACATGGCCAAAACGTATATAAGTACTTGAAAACACCTGGAGATTATTTCATTTTCTGTTCCATTGATTCTGGATGTAATACAAAGATATCTATCAAATTTCAAAGCTCTCTTCTAAATATCGCGAAATATATCTCAAAATATAGGGGTCAAATAAATTTGAAACAAGTAAAAGAACATTAAGTTCGGCTGGGCCAAACTTGTAATACCCTCCACCTTAGAGTAAAGGAAACATTAGAAGAAATGTGGCATAAATCATCAAAAT